CTGGGAGAGGCAGTGACCCAGCACAAGCTCCGTCTGTCCTTTATACTCTCCTGGCTAATTCCAGGTTGATCTTACTGTTTATATAATTGCATCTGAATTGCTGCTTTCTTATCGCAAAGTCATCTATTGAAAATTCATACTGAACCACAAAGCAAATGTGATAGGAACAAATGTGTCCATAATATCCTAACCTGGAAACTGGATCTGGAAATCTAATTATTTTAACAGTCATTCTCTCCTCAGGCTTTTAAATTAACCACTGCTTTTAAAAAGGTACTATTGATGTGTTTAATTGCTACATAGAACAGTAGTGTCATGACAGAGAGGCTAGCATGGAAATGGAGTCATCCTGAACCACACACAACTAATTCTACCTTCTTGTTTTGGGAAAATTAATAAAGTCTGGCTTACTCAGTTCGCTTGTTACGAGGCAGACACAACTGAGAGATGCAGTGGTATATACATAAAATAACAAATCTCAAATCAAAGCAATTGCTCTACAATGTGGTCTAGGAACAGCCTGACTTATCTACTCAAAAAAAAAAAAAAAAAAAACACACAGAGAAATTATTTGGCCTTGAAACTACTACCCAAATATTGAAGTAACAAGTAACTCACTCTGAAACACTGGTTGATAGGGGTAAAACTTTAAGAAACCACTCTTTGTAGCACAATGAGAAGCAAAATATTGCACAAACAATCAGCGAAACCAAAATGTCCAGAGAAGGGGGAAACCATTTTTGTGTTGAGGGCTTGGATGGACACCTGGGGAAGAGCAAAAATGAGAAAAGGTAGCTGGCATGCATGTCTTCAGCACAAGGCCACTGTCCTCTGCTGCTGCTTCAGCATCCAGTCAGCCTTCTCATTATGCTTCTTCATTGCAGCTCTGCTAACATCTACTGTCTCAGAAAATTTCCTAATCACTGAACTGCCATTTGGACTTTGATTTGATGTATGTCTTATGCAGGACAACCGTATTTCTGGTTTATGTGGCCATGAGAAATATGAAGAAGTTGAGTTTGAGCCGATAAGCAAGGCCACTTTGGACTGCTGAAGAGTGATCCAGTTAGTCCGGACTGGTGTTTAGCTAATTCTTGGATAATATTAGGCCCCATTTTCCTGTTGTTCCGGACTGCTGCACACAGCTTTGGGTCTGGGCTAACTGAAACTCTTATCATACTGAAGACAGAAAGGAGAATGTAACAGCAAAAGCTACATCTAGCAATGAAAAAAGGGGAAACAAGACAATCACTATTAGAAGTGGGAAAATGTAGAAAACTGGTATGAGAAGCTAGAAACTTGGGAAATACCTGTCACAACAAAGGCCAACAGTAATGTCAAAGGACATTACTAGATGAAAACAAAGCTGTCGATGCAGAGGAAGTGCAGTCTTCAATAAATAGTCTTGCATTTGAAGAGGTGGCAGCTGATTAATTGACATATACAACTTATTTCATATTTTTTATGGATAATATATAAGTAATAAATATTTTAAAGTCAACATTCCAAAGCTAAAGATCTTTTGCTTGCTCATGCTAATTTTAATGAATCTTGGAATACTGAGGAAATTTCAAAACATTAATAAGAGTGCTAATATTATGCCAATATTTACAGAGAGAAAGTTGACCCATGTAACTCTCAAGCCAGCTAGCCTGACAAATCAGGTAAAATAACAGAAAGTTGATACAGGATTTGAGCAATAAGGAATTAAAGGATGAGAACATAATTAATGCCAGTCAACATGGTGTTACATAAAATAGGTCATGTCACACAAACCTGATTTCATTCTTTGGGGTGATTGCAAATTTGGTCGTTAAGGCAACTACATAGATGCAGTGTCCCTAGTTCCATCTGTCCAGAGCCCTACTGTCATGGAGAACTAGAGTTATTACACAGAGTCCAATGTGGAGTGTGCTGAATACTGGGAATTCTCCATCACTGGAGCAGGCAGTATAATTTTAGAAGTGCATTTATTCATTGCAACTCAGTTTCCTGCTGCTGGTTTTTTACCCAGCCTCTGAATGCACTACAGTGCATTACAGAGATCTGACAAAATATTAAGAATGAAAATTAATTTATCTGGAAGTATGATAAATTAGCCTGAGTGGACCTGCAGACTAATGTGAATATTGCTCCTACTACTCAAGCTTGCTGCACACTAACATGGACACAGAGAGAACCTCTTTGCTACTACCTCTTCTTTGCTGCCATCTGCTCAGCCTGCCCATGTCAAAGATGCACTAAACTTCACTGAGTGGTATACACATTCAGATCTCTCCAGTAATTTACACAAGCTATTATTTTGGCAGAAAAGCTTTTCCCTGGCTGTCCTTCTAGATATGACTGCAGAGTTCTTTCACTACTCTCTAAGTGCCTGATGGCAGCAAGATCCCTGTACATACTGGGAGCAGCAAGACAAAGACTGACAGCAAAGTCCAGTGTGGATCCCTGTTCGTGCACAAGGCTTCATTCATACAGTTTCCTAAAATTCATAGTTAAATATCTGATGCTTATCGATCCCTTTCTTTGGTCAGCCCCCTGCTGACCTGCAGGCTATTCAGTAATACACGTTTTTAATGTGCTTTTACAGCTGTCAGCTTCGTAGCTCTGTTCTGGAACAGCCAGTTACACTGTTAATTATTTATCTTTAACCTTTCTGTTAATTAAACCGATCCATTCACTGACATTCAGTTATTTACACTTTCATTAAGTGAAAAGCAGTATGCTGATGTTCCACAAGAAGTGTTTTAAGTGATATCTGTAAACAGAATACTGTAATCATAAAATTATTCGGTTCATTACCCAGGAATCTCTGAAACTGTAAGGGTCAGAGAGATTCAGTACATGCCTGAATTAATATGTAAAAAATAGTTAAATAGAGTTCTCTTTCCCTGATCAATGCCTAAGATAGTCCTGCTCATTATTGTTCTGTTAGTAAGATAACAGAATGAAAATTTTTTAGAGCTTATGAGCAGGTTAACCTATAGAGCAGGTGAGAAAGTCTTGTTTCCACTGCATATAGCATTCTGGATATTAAAATGAAAACTTCTTCATGCTTGCAAACAACACTGGAATTGGAAGAGATGCTGATAAAAATAGACAAAAACAATCAGATTCCTACAAGACTAGGATTCTGGTAGAGGAATTATTTCCAATTCCATCCAATTACAGAACTCCAGTGATGAACGGAAACAAGATCCTGACATGTTGCCATAGGAACAAGGTTTTTGCCACCAGCTTTTGCATTTAAACAGACCGCATCTGCTGAATTTTCAGAGCTAATCTGTCTTTTTCAAGTCTCTCTGCAATTGATTGAAACATAGCTCTCATGTCTTCAGTTTGTAGATTCATAGGTGACTGTTCTCCTTTCTTTCCTAGGATTAGCTGCAGCATTTCCTTATCCAGCACAGATTTAAAGAGCAGTTCTCTTTGTTGCATATCATATGCCAATAATCTCAATTTATGGCCTGAAAATACTTCAGAATCTTATTTGTTATTGTGGCTCATAGGATAGACCACTTTGTACTTGATTATATTTCTTTGGAAAGTGCTAAATATTTCAGTTCCTGTTATTGTAAGATATACAATCTCTATACTGAGGATAAAATTTACAAATAACAACAAAACAAAACAAAGAAAAACACATACATGCAAGCCAGAAGCGTTCTGCAGTATTATAAAGAATAAAAGACTATATTCACACAATATCCTACCAAGGCTGAGAAGTATGTATAATCACGTGCACAAGTGTAGGGCTGCAACTAAGTGGCTAGTAGTTCTGCAGAAAAAGATCTAGAGATTACAGTGAATCATTAAATAAATGTGAGTCATGCTGTTATAAAGAATGTAAACATCATACTCAAATGCATAAACACAAGAGCTGTCTGTAGAGTATTCAAGATAATCCTTCTACTCCATTTGGCGCTGGTTAGGCCACAAACGGAGTACAAATGAAGAAAAGCTGGAGTGACTGGAAATCTAGAAAACATGAACCAAAAGGAAAGGTTAGAGAAAAGGTAGGTCATTTGTGTTGTTCAAGATAGGTTATTTACTCTGCATAGTTACATTGCAAATATATATAGCTTTTGGCCTCAAGACATTTTTGCTTAAGCAGTATTTGTAGGACAAGCACATTCTTTTCTCCTTCTCTGTTCACGGCTTACATAAGAGCACCCTTTGGTTTCTTCTCAGGCACAGAACTGCAAACACTACTGGGACTCTGAAGAAGAGAGGAAAACAACTGGTAGATGAATGCGATCGTGGACAACAGAGTATTCCAAATAGGTTAGGTGATGTTCTTTTCTTAAAGAAGGTTGGAAGAACCTTAAAGAAGGTTAAAGTTGGAAGGGACCTCTGGAGATCACCTAGTCTAATCCCCCTGCTCAAAGCAGGTTGCTCAGGAGGCTCATGGAGACCCCACAGCCTCTCTGGGCAACCTGTTCCTGTGTTCAATCACCTGTACAAGAAAAAAGTTTCCTGTGTCTAAACAAAATTTATTGTATTTCCATTTGTGCCCATTGCCTCTTGTTCTTTCACTGGAGGCCACTGAGAAGAGCCTGGCTCCATTTTCTTTACTCCCTCTCATCAGGTATTTTATACATACTGATACTCCCAGGCCTTCCCTTCTGCAGGCTAAACAATCCAGGCCCTCTCAGTCGCTCCTCATTTATCATATGCTCCAATGCCTTAATCATCCTTTATAATTATTATCACACTTATCGGAGGATTTAAAAAAAATTTTTTTTCCACACGTTTGGGCAAAACTGTTTAGAGGGATTCTTCCAGTACAGCATCTGATTCCGGAAAAAAAAAAAACTTTTAAAAGCCACTGTAAAATAAGATCAGCAACTACTGACACATAACACTCCCCTTTGGTAATAATATGCAGCTAGATTCAAACAAGTGAGCTCAACCCTAGCATGGTTATTCTGACTAATCTCTTAACTCCAGTGCAACTTCACTGGTTACCATAGAGACACTCCTGTGTTTCACCCAGCCCTCCAGGGACTGTATTCCAGAGTCTGAATAAACAGGAACATGCTAAGACATTGGATCTGTTACTCTGTACTACCTGCAAGTCCATATACTACTGCATTTGTCAGCCTTGGTGAGTTCTAAAAGTGTCATTTTCTTAAGATTTGTTCTTACTTTCTGTATTCTATTTTGCACTCTCTACTCTTGCGGTTTCTAAACAAAAAATGTTTAATAGCATTTGGAAGTAACTAGCTCAGTAGTGCAGAGTCACAGTTACAATGTACCCGGAAGTGACTGAATGTGGTAAGCCTGTACTGCAGTTTAAAGTTCTGGCAATGTTTACGTTCTTTTTTTCTTAAGATATACAATGTGGAATTTCTTTACTTGTCAGAATAACCTCTTGGTCTGATTTAAAATGTCTGTAATGCTGTATCAGGTTTTGTAACAATTCTAGTTAACTCTATTTCATAACTGATACAGTACCTAATTAAAAACCCTACTTCTACAATACACAGTGCATTTAACAACAAACAAAATAGACTGAAGAGGTATGTTCTTTGGACCACTTGCTGGGGACTGGCCTTTCTTTATATGGTGTTAACACAAGGTAGGAGGAGTCTCTGTTGCTGTATCTCTCAGTATTACCCAATACAAACATTAAATAACAGGATTCGGTAATAACAGTGGCTGGAATATTCACTAATAAAAGTCAACATTTGAGTAAACTCCCAAATACTCTATACTAATGAAATAACAACAAGGTAATAATTTTGAAATTTCCTATGCTTAATAAAGCCATGAGGGACAAACTATACTGATTTGACATTAAAATATTTTAAGAGAGATCTAAGATAAACACTAGAATAGGCAAGTGTTCATTATTTGTCTTTCTCGGTCTTAGAATTAAATTTTCCTAAACTTTTTAGGCTTTCCCCTCTTCCATGTTCATTTTAGGCAGTTGTAGCAAACAAGTATACTAAAAAAGTTATTGCATACCATGTAGAAAAATTAATTTTCAATTAAAAAACACATATCTGCATCAGAAATTTGAGATTGGGCATTAAACACATGTCCAAGCTATGTATTTAAATTGAATCAGCTCTTTTTTAATACTGTACATTTTAAAATGTAGAGACCACAGACTACTAAAGTTATCCAATAAGTGCATTCAAAGGAAATTATTATTTCTTCCCAAGGCATTTCAGACAAAGAGGAGAGAATGGATTCAACACAGACAAATAAACCTGCTGCTGGATGGGAAAAGACAGACATTATAATGGATGGAATACAACTTAAGCATTTTCCAATTCTTTTAACTTGCTACCTTGTGGCAACGTACATTGTTCAGGCCATAGATTATGTCTCCCTTACAAATGAGACCATGCAAACAAACACACAGAGTAGGTTGGAAAAACAATGTCTCCTGAAGCTGTTATAGCATCCAGTATTTCAGATAAAGTCCATCAAACCACAACGCAGGGTGCAACTATCAGCCACAATACAAGGCTCAGAATGGATAGCGGCAGTAACTCTCCTTTAATAACCACATCATATGTGGCACATGTTGCATCAAACACCATTCACCATCCAAGCTCAAACACTAACAAGTCTTCAGATATCACAAGATTCAAATCTGTTGCGACTCTACCACGTAATTTTTTATCATCTACTAGAACTATAAATCAAACAACATCAGAAATGCTGGAAGCAGCTGATCAGCTTTTCACAACCATACCAACAATCACCCGTGAAGCTCTAACTCCAAATTGTACAACCCAGGCTCCAGGTAGGTATCATTAGGTATTACAGCAGCATTCCCTTAAATTGCTGAGGCCAGACTTGTTTATTTTAGTTGAAGCCTGAATACAGAGGTCCAACTCTGTCAAGAACTTGATGGCTGTATAAAAATCAAGTTTACTTTCACTACTAGTTCGCATATTCAGACCTACAGATCCTTGAAGCAGCTCACAAAGCCTAACTACTTTTTTAATTTTTCTTGCAATACTGAGCTCAAGTGAAACAGCTCAAGTGAAAAATTGAATATCATGACCAGTACATACCATTCTGTTGGAGGGTTGAAGAGATGAGAGCAGGATTGACACCAGCTTCCTTGGAAAAAAAAAAAGGAAAATATTTGAAGTACTAGAGAAACATACAATTAAACAAAGGGTAAATCAAGATGAGAGGAAGAAAGGGAGCATAAATAGTAGGCCAGAGTATTGCCAATGCTTTTTGAAAAATTTGACAGAAAAGGAATTGGAGAACTGTCTTAGCAACATAACGAGGGAAAACAATAATATACACGACCATTTCCAAATGTTATCTGTAATTTAAGGTAACCAGGTATTAGCAAACTTCCCGTTAGCTATACGTGCTACAGTTCCTCAGCTCCTTTAGAGTTCTAAGCAGTAATTAGCAAAAAGTAGGAAAGCTAGTTCTGTGTTGACCATGTGCATGCGTGCATGCGTGCGTTTGACCCAGACACATATCTTTAATGAAAACGCAAACTCAAATCAAACCTTTAAAAATTCATCTATATGATAAGAAGAAACTGTTGGAAGTATCATTCAGTATTGTTGCTAAGGCAAAATACAGTAGCTAGAATATTAAAGGGGTTCTGAGTACTAGATTTTCAGACTGTCCTTTTAAATTTGTGTTGACAAAAGATTTCTATGCCATTATATTAAAATCTAAAGGCTGAATTTTGCTGTATTTCTAGCTTTATACACTTTTTTTCCCCCCCAAATAATTTTACTTTAGCAGGAGAAGCTCATCTATGGACTTCCAAGACCATTCTGGCTATTAGTTTCAACAGCCTCACCTTTACTCTTCTAGTGATTATTATATACATTCATAACAAGTACGGGAAAAGAATTGCCCAGTATTCACATCATCAACTGAATGAGAACTCTCCTGAAACAGGTTGGCCCAACTTTTTAAAATGACATATTCTATGAAGACAAACCTACATTTCCAAGTGTATAACATGCATGAGACAGAACCATTTTCTGATTCTGCTTAATAGAGCACTGAAACGCAGTAACTTCTCAGACAGAACCTGCAGCACACTGCCAGAGCCTTTGCACATATTCACAGGGTACCTGGAGGTTAGGTCTTGGAGTATTTCAAGCCAAGACTGACAGTAGGTCTGCTCTGCTAAATGCAGCAAAATTCCAGGATGCTTCTGGAAGGGCACTGCTGCTCAAAAGAATGTAAATGGAATGCTATGCAGACTTTGTATGAACTGCAGAAATAAGAGACATCCTCTACGGAAGCTGCTGTAGATCCTGGGCTTGAGGGAAAGTACTCCTCCACGGAAATAAGTTATAAATTGATATCTGCACAATCATTATCAATTATATCCTTACTAATGGGACATTTAATATTTCATACCTCTTTAAAACAGATTGGAAAGTAAAAACTCAGAGGAAAAAGAAATGTGTGAAACATTTATTTCACTGGAAATAGTCAAAACAGAAATATTTCTCAAAATGGTATTAATGAAAAAAATTGAAATATTGTTTCATTTATATTTGCTGGCATAGGTTAATATATATTTTAAAACTTTGAGAAAAAGTCAGCTAGAAATAAGCTTATCTTGCTAATATTGTTAATGATAAAGTGTGTGTGTATATATATGAAATCGATAAATATATAATAGATAGTACACACATATTAAAAAATTGTAGTAACTTGAACTAGCCAATATCAAATACCATGAATACCATGAAAATTTAGCTTTTAAAACTTTAATAAAATTCCACATGTAAAAGCATCAATATTCACTACTATGAATAGCTGATAGCTGGTAATTTCAATTTTTATTCAATTTTTATTTTTTGACGTGCATGCTACCTGAAGGATTCACAAGCCAAAGCACATGCATTCATTAATTTTCATTTGTTTTTCCTATGTAAACTAGATGAATGCCTAAAATAATTGGTTTTATTTTCATTTGTATTTAGTCTATATAGTCTACTTGCAGAAACATGCAGAGTATGAGGCAAATATGATTTTACATCCTTTCTAGATGATTGTTTCCTGTAATTTTTCATATAATAGTAATAATGGTATATTTGTAATTTTGCAGATGATTTATATAATACACCAGATGACACACTGGTGATATCAGGAGGACTATAAGATGCACCCCAGATTTACAACCCTGACGTGACAGTACTGGAAAATAATGAAGTTCAAACTGATTATTTACCATTTGAGTCTAGATGTGGGCAGTACAGACTTGAATATTTACCTGTTCATGTGGAAAAAGGACTTTTCTCCACCTTCAAGACATTTTAATTACCACAAGATTCTAAACATTATGACATGCAGAAATTTCTTACGATAGTTTTAACATTAACACTTACGTAGCATTTCTGATTACCCCTGCTTAAGTCTCTTGACATTTCTTTTAATATAATGTCAGATACTGTACATATACTGCTATGCTGGAAATCACGCTTACTTATACCAACGAAAATATGTGTTTCTCATGAAAAGTCTCAGTGAGCAGTGGTTTAAACTGTATTTTTGCATGAAGTCATTCAAATATCTCACATTATGGAATTAGCAAAATTATGAATGCGTAGGCTAGGCTTGATGTGGATTTTGAACCTTAACTGCAAAATTATAGTTTATGGATTTATATGTGATCCACAGCTGAGAAGACTAAGTAGTAGTTTTATTATACTCAGAAACAACCTGAAATTTTATTTTTGATTTCTCAGTCACTAGCCTATCTATCTGTTGAAGATGTCAACAGTAGCGACAGTCAAAATTAGGAATAGGCTGTCTTGAAATGAAATAACGATCACAGGCAGGTGTTTAGACCTTGTATAAAACACCAATCCCTTTTAAAATAAATGAGACTGAACACATATGTTGTGTTTCGCAGGTGTGTTTTTGCTGCAAAGTAACCAAAGAGAAATTAGTAAGTAACATCCCAAACTAAAACGAAAAATAAGGGATTCTGAATGACATTCTGTGCACATGGTTTTAAAAACAATAATCAAGATATTCAGGAGAGGTTTAAAGGGATTTTTTAATGGTACTTAGGGTAAAATAATCTTTCTTGGAAAGAGCAGACATCTGGAACGTGTGTGTTACAAGCAGCTCCTTTCTTCTTTCCTTTGGTCTGATTTACGCTATTTAAACAGAAATATTATAAAAACTTAACATTCCGCATATGTATCAAACAACTCTCCAGTAAGAAAAGTCATTTTAACTTGTCAGAAAGTTCACCTGCACAATACATTCCATTTACAAAATACAGAGAAAAAAAATAGTATATTTTTTAAGACCTTTGGAAAGTTATCTTTATCAGTTACATACAATAAAAAAAACATTATTAACATCACTGTTCAACAGATAAGGCGTTAAGAAACCCAAACTACTAGCCTATGTAGAATTGCTAAACCGAAACAATGAAACACTTAAGTTTTGCTACCCACTTCAGATGAAGCTAGGATTTTGATTTTTCTTAATACTTTCAGATAGATGTACCTGTAGTCTTCTTGTTATCTTTAGGGACTGAAGCAAGTTTTTTTTTGTTGTTGAGAAACCAAGCTTAAGCATGGCAAGCTTAAGCAAGGATTAATACCGGAATCTATTTAGTTCTAAGTTATTTTTACACTTACATGGCAGAAGCTGTTAGTCCTTAGGATGGATGTCTGGCCATTTAGATCTATGCTCTAATACATAAAGCAACATTAGTCCCACACTTCACATTTCAGATGAACCATTTAATGAATCGTAAAATTGTGTTTACAATCTGAAAATATAAGTACGCATAACATTCCTTGTGAAGCTGAACTGTTTTTAAACCTACGTAACTTTATTAAAAATACAACTTTAAGCATTTCAAAACTGTTTTAACATACTGAAGTAGTGGCTACTGAAAACAAAGTAACATAAAAGGATAAGATAGTTCTAGCAGAACATGTAAAATGAACCAAAAGCAAGACAACTTCAAATAAAAGTTCATTTTTAAAGCTTCAGCATTTAATTCATTAAATAATATCCTTGTGTGAATTATAATTTTAAAATGAGAGTAAATTCAAAAGAACAAAACTGAATTTCTTCAAAATCAGTATTTGCAACACCAGACAAAATATCTTTCCTTTTCAAAGCAGTTTTCTTTGTAGTTATACTCATTTCAAAATTAAAGAGTGAGCTAATTTTTGTCTCCAGGCTTCTTATAGCATAGGGAGTGAAATGCAGAAAATGCTCTGCATGTTGATGTAGTTAGGTATCAATATTATGGATATGAAGGAAATTAATTAAAGTACTGAATACATATTGAATAGGACAGAAAAATAAAACAGTGTACTAACCCTGAAAGAATAATAATTCTATGTTGTACTAATCAAATAATGTTAGAAGATTAGTCATTTTTTAATTTTAAGTAAAGAGTTTTTCAGCTTCTTTCATTTTTCGTTTCCTGTCCATTTTAGAAACTGCAGTCCATCCAGCCTCTCGCATTTTTCTCATACTTGTAAGTTTCAGTGCAGAGCCTGGAGTTTTTAGGTTTGACGCTGCTGGTTTCTAAGAAGACATATAAAACCATCCATTAATTTCTGTAATAAATTTGATTAACCGTTCAGTTTGATTTGAAGAAAAGCTACGATACCTTTTTTGGTGTCATAGCAGATAATTGTGAAGCTTGAGGATAATCTTTGTATAATTTTTTAAAGACTTCTTCCTCTGAGACTATGCTCTTAAATTAAAAAAAAAAGTTATTTAATCACACAATATTCAAAAATCTCTTTTATTTCCCCTTAGAAATACTAGAGTATGAAAAAAGTTAAAATATTATTATGAAGCCTGAACAGTTCAACAAAAACAATGTAAAAATTCATTATAAAAATGAATTTATATTTTTACAGAGTAGTATTTTATTTTTGATATAGTTACTAATTTAGTACATGTAAACGTTATTCCAGAAAGAGCTAATGAAATAAAAATACACTCATTTTGTCTTGTATACAGAATCTCACTTCTTACATACATTCTTAGATATAGCAGCGTACATAACAAATCGCTAAGCACGCTATTTGTTTCTGTTTTTACCAGGAGGTCACTATGCTCAGAGCTATCTGACTGAGTATCCAGCTGTAGAAGCACTTTTTGCTTTTTCCTCATGCACCCTTCTGAAGGCAGATTTGTGCTTTCACTTTGCAGCTTACTTAATGGGGGAGTCTTTATAACATATGTCTAGGGAAAAAAAAAAAAAAGACTATATTTAAAATTCCATTTTCAGTGGTGCTTCTAGAACGTAAAACCAAACCTATAACTCAATATACAGACCGAGTACCCAGGCAGACACTAAAGAGATGTTGGAGAACTATCACCTTCCCCTTTGAAATATGAAGCAAAGATCCAGACAAAAGCAAAAAATACAATATATCATTTTTGTATTGTCAAATAACGAAAAAAGAACAGGAAGTCCCAGAAGAACTAAGTTTTATGGCACACTCTACCTATGCTCTTTTATCTCATGTGCATATATTCAGTTCTTGTTCTGAACTGTAGTCACTACAAACAGAGCATAACCAAACCTGCAGGAAGAAGCTTCCAGGAAGCCACTGACAGCCATATCAAGAATAAGATTTTTTTTTTTTTTGCTAGAAGTTAAACTTATCAGAAACATTGCAACGGAATTTAAAAAATAAAAGTCTGTTTGCAACATTAAGTTTTTAGAAAGGATAAAACAAAAATGACAGTTATTCTTTTGTTCAGATATAAACATCACATGTGGACTTTATTAAATTCACAGTCCCTCTAAAACAGGTATTATTGGTCCCATTTTACCAATTTGTGAAGATAAATGAAGTAACTGAGCAAGAAAAATTGAACAGTGTTGGAGCCTTTTCACAAACTTTTTTAATATCACTGAAGAATGCATATTTTCTTGTGGCTATCTACCTTTTAAATCCCTATTTATCACAAAGAAAAATAAAGTGTCCCTAGAGAATTAAAAAATACAGTCAAAAAAAATAAAACAAGAACAATTAATTACCATATTACCAGTTACAAACCTTTAATGATGGACTGCACAAGGTACTTTTTGCAGATACTGAAGGAGATATTTCTTTATTTTCCATTATGTTGACTTTTATAGGAATATAATTTGGAGACAAATTTTTTTTTGAATTGACAGATGCAGAGTCCAGATCCAAATGAGGTTTAGAAGTCTCAGAAAAGTGAGTCTGTATTTTCTAAAATTAAAAAAAGGCTTAAATTAAGAGCAAATGGATGTCTTTTGTCCAGTGTACATCATCTATCATGAAACATCAATCAAGCTGCATACATACAAATGTCATCAAATTCTAACATTAATTAATAACAAAATTAAAACTACCTTGTGTTTCTTTTCTTTTTCAGGAACTGTATTTTTGGGGGGTTCTTTTGCAAGATTCTCCTAAAAAAAGAGTTATGCCATTGGTAGTAACTATCTTACTTGAATTTAGCTGTTGAACATATGCTCAGCATAATTAGAGAACACTGTATATCAAAGATACATTTCACAACTGCTATTATTGTAGTTCATAAGACTAGGCCAAGCACGTCACACACAGTGCTACATTAAAAAAAAATACCTTCTCTTCAATTTCTGCTTTAAGCTGTTCCTTAAGGGATGACAGTTCACTCTTCAGACACGATAACTCACTTTCCTAAAAACAATTAGATAATGGAAGGTTAACTATTAACCTGGAAAAAAGAAAGCAGACCTAATAAAACACTAATTAGGAGTATTCATTATAAACATAAACAAAATTCCATCTGTTAAATACAGCTAACTTATCCATAAAGTTAGGACTTAATCCTTAGATTACAATGCTTACAATTCATTTTCAGAATAATTCAACTTCTGTGAAGGGAAATGTCAGAAGGATACTGACTTTTAGGTAGAAATTGTAGAACTACCCTTTTAGAGAGTCTTGAGAGTATGTTTGCTCTTAGAACTTTTCTCAAAGCTAAGCCTCCCAGAAAGGAAAAGGCAAAAACAACAAATGCAACTCTGGCTTGGAAGTTTTGTTTTAGTTTGTTTTTTTAAGAAGAGCTCAAATGATACTAAGAAACAGTTACCTGACCAGAACTGTTCAACAAATGAACTTTTAATACTTGTTAGAAGGGGGAAAGAAAGGAAACTAATACAAAAGTTACTTAACCAGGTGGTATGGTTAGAACATGTGCACCATCAGGAAAGGAAGACAGAAAAGCACAGCATCTTTCTTCATTTTTAGAAACATCTGATATTTTAACACACATTAAAATCAGTAAGTAAATATAGTATATGGAAATTAGTCAGTTGATCTTCACTACTGTTCACTCTCACTAAAGTAAATGCTTAAAAAAAACCCAATAAGCATTAAACAGGAAGAATTCTAATATAATATTTATATTATATTACTCTGTCAGGACAGAGCAGGAGAGCAGCCCCTACATTAGATTACTCATTGCTGAAGTGTATATCTCACCAAGGATCTCTTTTCTGATGACTGCTCATGCTCTTTTATCTTAAAAAGTTTTAATTCTGTATCTTTTTCTTCAACCATTTTGTCATATTGGTGCTGTGTTAAGAAACAAAAAAGGTATTTGACTAAATGTTATAGTTATAGGTATATTTAATCTTAAAACATCACTCATTTTTTCAAATAGAACTACTTCAGAGCTTCAGAAAGCACTATGAATAAACATTTAGACCTCTGCACATAGTGCACAACAGGAAATGTACAAGCAGTGTTATTTTGTGGGGTGACAGAGAATGCTTTATCTCCAGGCAGTGATAAGTGTTCAAGCAAAAAGAAGTTAGCCATATTATTTTTCCTAATGGTATCTGCTAGATCTACTGCAAAACAGAATAGTAAATTGAGTCAATTAAAATACATTAAGTTAAATTGCCTAAGGTCACTAAGGAGTCCTCATAGAAACCTGCCCAAACTAACACTGAAGAATACTGCCTGAGGATAGTATCAAAAGAAGCCCGAATATAAACAAATCCTAGCAAGTACAAACATATATATTCCTTTATTCAGGCCAAACATAACACCTTGAAAAACACAGCCTTTAAGACAACTTCAGAAGACCACTGCCACCACCACATCTCCCCTAAAGCATTATTAGAGGACCTACAATGCTACTAGTTAACATCATACTGTGATTCCTAAAAATGTAGATCAATAGAATTTATCTGCCAGCAGACTTCTTTTTTCAAAATCTGAGGATGAATTTATTTTCAGTTGTTGAAAAGTCAAGCATGCATTAAAATTCACTTTCCTAGACTTAGGTCTTTATTATGAAATTTCATTTTCCAATTTGTAATACTCTGGTTTTGAAAAGTTGTTATTTATCACAGTATCGCACACTACAAATCACAGAAATCAGTAAAATCTCCTACCTTATGCTTTTCCATAAGTGCTACCATTTCAGCAATCTTGTGTTGACATCGAATATCAGTTTCTTTCTGTGTTACTGTTGCTTCATCAGCCAGTAACCTCATCTTTTCTACCTGTTAGTAATAAGTTTCTCCTAATTCATGAACAAACAAGAATAACACGCTAACAAAATCTTAGTTTCATTTTTTCCCTCCCCAGTGGGTGCAATGTACAGGTCTTCTTACGTAGTCTTCATTTGCTTGAAAGATCCTTTTCCAATTCTGCATCTTTTACACATTTTGTTAAGATGGGCAAGTAAAACCTAGATTGAAAGTACATCCAGTCTTCTGTGGCAGACAAGTGCAAGGTTGAACCACAAGCAGTAAGGAGTAACTGAGTGGTAATTCAAGCACTCTGCCCTAACATTTTTTGACGTTACCATCAAAAATTGTGGGAATGACAATACGAATATTAGGAAAGTTATAATCTTATTTGCTTAAGGTATATTTATACCAAGAATAGAATTTCTGTGGACAGTATCCTGAAAAAGGTTTTTTAGCTAGGTTCTTATCTTTAAAGACATGCATAAATATTTCAACTTAAGAAGGCAGTGTTGTAAAGCTTTCCTCTCAGGCATACACAGTAAGTTCCAACCATGTCTGCAAGACTGCTAAACACACGTGGAAAGAGTCTGGCCTATACAGCCTCATAAAATATATCAAGCATTTGATAAGTTATCATACATCAAAAAAAATTGCAGTAAAATTTAACAACTCTGACCTCTTCAAGAAGTTTATCTTCAGTTAGCTTTTTTGCTTCAATTTCTTTTTGATAGATGTCAACTGTTTCCTTATGTTGCTTGTTCATATTTTCTATCTCTAACTGTAATTTATTCACCTTTTGAGAATGCAGAATGATTGCTGTTAGTTGTTCAGGAATAAACGTGCCTTTTTTTTAAATCTTACTTTAGAGCAGAATCACACTACTTTTCAGGTATGTGACGGCACTGTTTCCTATTTAACATTCAGGTTTTCTCATGAGGAGCTGAACTTTTGTCTGAAGTGAATTAGAAAACACTCATGGCAACTACAGAAGCAGCACAACAGAAAAGACAGCCCACACCAGTTTTGTGCATCCCAGTCAATAAAGAAGCCCTAGCGCTGGTTAACCACAAAAGAACCATTTCGATATAAAGGAATCATCTAATAGCAATCTGACAGTATCTTACCTTTTGTACGAAAGTCCCTTTAGTATGACTGTCATGGAATGCAAGATCAGAAAATGAAGCATAACTGAGCCTTAGCAGCCTTAGCAGCAGCATTAGTGTAATATGTCTATAATTAAAACTTGTTTAACTTAAGAAATGGAGAAACAGTTTCTCTATAAATAGTTTATTTTCAGAATTTTATTTAATTCTAAAAATGGGGAAGTCCTTTCAGCTGCTAATATTAACAAGAAT